TCTTTTGCTTTTTCAAAGTGGTCCTCGAGAGAAACATAAAGGTTTGTAAACAGATCAGTATGTGGGGCATAGAAGTCATCCTCAAACATGAAGTAGAAGGAATTTCCATCTTCGACTCTTTATCAGCTAGATCAAGACCAATTATACAAGAATCTACACTGAATGGAAAGATGAACTAAAAGTACTCGTTGGCTGATGAGAAATGAATCTGGGCTAATATACATTGAATGATGAAAAGGACGCTGCGTCAAAACAAAAAAAGCCTCCTCGTAGTGATGTGGTAAGTGTCAAATCCATATTCCCTCAAGCGGATTCGGGAGAAAGAATTCACAACCCAAATGGGCTGCTTCACCATGATCCTGGAGTTCCTCCAGAATCTGTTCTCCAGGATGAGGCCCATCAGTAAGGTTCTCCTTGATATGAATGATGTAGACCTTCAACCCTTCCAGAGGAAGAGGACAAGTATTAACCCAGGTCTCAGGGTCCGGATCTCCCAGAACATCTCCGAAGTCCACTCTGGGTATCTGAGGAATCTCAAATGACTCGCTCGGATGTGATGGAGGCTCAATAAGCGATTCGGACGTCCTGCCTTTATCGGCAGAGGAGCTTGGAGTCCGTTTGGACTTTGGGCTCACCTGCTCGCTGCCGCACTCGACGGGGGCTACGGGTTCACGCTTGCGCTTTTTCTCGCCCGTATTCAAATCCCGCACTTCCACGACTCGGTTGGCCAACACGCTGAGCTCGGATACTAGATGTCGTGGACACATGTGGCCGTACAGATATGAGTCGTCGGTGCTGTCAGGGTAGGAACATTCAATGAAGATCGCTCGTAGTTTGCCCGTGGCAATTTTCGGTGCAGCGGCTTCCCATACTCGTTTGTTATGAGTTCCCATTGAGATCGAGTCGGGTTCGACGTCGCCGAAGACAATGATCTCGCAGCCGGTGCGATGGTCACGCAAGAAGAAGGCGGAACTCTCGACTGTTGCCAACACTGGCTCTTTGGGGTTGGATGGGAGTATATGTGGCGACCGAGCGGGGGAATAGAAACTGGCAACGGTCAAGGAAATCCACGTAAGGATTGCAGACTCTGAAGCTTACCTGCCATCGGTATGGTCCACCGAAATCGCCCTGGAAGGAAGCATCAATTGATGATCAGAAAAGACAGTACTCCCGACTCGATGGTGCGTCCCGCTTTCTGGATGGTATCGCTGCTTGCACCGACCATGGCTAACACTCAAGCATTTTGTCAATAGGCCATTGCAAGCTCTGACATAGCCCCTACTGTCCCCACGACCGAAGCGAGGGTTTCCACCTTCCACCAAGCGCTGATATGTGAGCAGGCCAGCCCCGCCATCCTCGTCCGACAGGTTAGGCCAGATGACATCGTTGAACATGTGGTTTTTGAGAGCGGAGAGCACAGAGGGTAAAGCAGCCACAGGCTTTGGTCCATTACCCGCCTCCAGAATCGGGGTATTAATGGCCAGCCCTGAGATATGATCTAGATGAGGGTGCGTGATAAGAACGGCACCAATGATTTCTCGAAATACATGAGCTGCATTTGCCTGTGCTGTTGTGCAGGGCAGCTCAAGCCCCTGAAAGGGCCCACTTGTCATCATTCCTTGATCATCCTTGCCTTCGGGGATGTATCGTTCCAGTAATCGAATGATGCCTGCAAGAAGGGTCCCCGCATCAACGGCTACCACCGAATTTGGAGACCATTTTGTTGCCGTTGACCGGACAAGAATGCCCGTGACGCTATCTTCGCGGGGCCCACCAGTCGGGCCCTGAGGGAGTCAGCATCCAGCAAGAGTAGAGAGTTGCAGGGAGTTTTATCTGCTAGAACTGGCCATCGGGGTTGAGAAAACATGCAAAATCCCCAACCTCGACACATGGCCCTGCACGTGACGGGTTCCCAGGAAAATAAATCAACGGGTTCTAACTTACCAAGACAATGACTTGGAATGCTGCTTTCTCGGCCATTGTTCCACTTGTCTCGCCCATGGAAATGTGAGACACGAACAATGAACTAGACGTGTCACAACCCAAGAGTCAGTGAAGCTGCCGAGCGCGTCTGATCCTCAATAGGCAGGTCTCAGTGATGGAATGTTTCAGGCTCAAATGGATTGGCCAAACTGGATATGAGAGGTGGCTAACAAAGACTGGGAAAAAGAAGAAGAAATCAGGTCGGGTCACAAAGGTAAGGCTGTTCAAAGTTCAGAATTGACTATACACAAAGCCTGAAAGCAGCGTCCCCGAGAGCGCGAAAATATGGAGGCTGGTCGAGAGATAAGGGAAGTATTTCACAGATTTTCCCCTGATACTCCGTAGATCAGTGCCGATTGGAGGATATTTCGGGGGAGATGATGTTCGGAGAGACCGGGGGTGGACTCTGTGGAGACGGGGCCGAGATCTGATATCAGATCGGACGAAGTTGATGACGTCCACACTACGATCTTATATTCTATCTTATTGATACTTCGATATTACAGAGAACTTGATAAATTCTGAAGTTCAAATGAATATACATGTTTAACATAAAGAGGGTATGCGGTTAAAAAAAAGGAGCAAAAACCATTGTGCCATACAGGAATTCATTCCCCAAGGGCAAGGGACAGTAGGGACACAAAGGTCATTCCAATACAGAAAGCATTTCATAAAAACCAAGTTACCTTCGCCAACTGCTGTAACGCCTTCCGTGAGCCCGCTAATTTAAACAAAGAAATAACCAGACAAAGCCCCTGATGCGCCACGAGGTTATGTTCAAAAACTAAAAAAATTGGGGGAAAAGGGGGGGGAGAGAGATAGATATTGTATTAGGACCGGTCGTTGGCCTCTGAGTTGTGTTCATTCAAGTCCCTCTCCACCACGGTTTGGTAACTGGGCAGAAATTGACCACCAGAATCCATGGAGTCATTTGAAGGAGAGTGGAGGTCCTCCGATGCCCTGAAACTAGGTGGGCAGTCAAGAGAAGCATCACTGCCCCTACGACTGCCGTCGGGACTAGAATACTCTGGGGGCGGGGCCTCTGGCTCCTGATTGTTATGAGCTGCATCATTGCCCTCTGCATCGGCCAAAGCAAACTGGCTGGAACCCTCGCCAGCATCTTCATGGGAAGGAATGTGGGTCAGCTGAGCGAGGGAAATGTCAGTTGGTGATCGAGAAGGACCGGGACTGGGCGCCGGAGGAATCCTGACACTTGAGCCGGAGGCCGCATAATTCGCGTTTTGGTAAACGCGCTGAGAGATTTGAGCCGCACTCTCGCGCCCTGACTCTAGCAGAATGCTGCCTTGTTCACTGCCATAGGGTGGGGGTGGGGCGAGGCTGCCCGTCATGGGGGCCAAGCCCCATTTTTTGACATTGCCTTCGATGAACACGAATCCCATTTGGCCAAAGTTCACGTGGATAGTGCAAGGCCCATTGGCACCGATGGTGGGGAAGAGGTTTTGTGAGCGATAGTTGTGAGCCACGTCTTCCAATTTCTTGCCGTTGCGTGTGAAGAAGACAGTGCCGGATCGAGGTCGGTAGCCTACACCAACAACATCGCCTTGGAGAAGTGGAGGCCCGTATGGGGTGGGATTAAATGGTTGGTTGAGTCTGCGATCTCCCGTAGATTGGTAGGCAACGGAGGATTTATGGAAGCCTAGCGGTTGTTAGCTGAAATTCCTCAACCGAAACGCGTTTGGTGCAACACATACCAGGCATTCGGAACAGGGGATATGGTTTCGTAGTCACACCGATGCCGATCATGGTCGAGTCGGGCTTATCGTATATCTTCGCCTCCCAGTAGTATACATCATTCTGCTTCGGGATTGGCAGATTGGTCTGTACACTACACTCCGAGTCAAAGAACTCAATTTCTGTTCGTCCTTCGACAAAGCAGTTTGCAATTTCCAACTCTGGCTGGAATTCCCAGGCAGATACACCTTTTTCTTGGATCGCGAGGAACTGTGATAGGGAGATATCGGTTTGCACGGACTCAGGAGGGTTTCCTTGGACAAAAGCTGCAGATCGTTAGTAAAATGACCATAACGACTCATACGGAGATTCATCTCCAGTCTTACCTTTTGCTCGCAAGTATTCCGATCGCGCCAAGTCATCCATGGACTCTAGAGCCGCCTCTTCCTCGCGCAAAAACGCTTGCTCGTCATCATATTCACCGGGCCTGCCAATGCGATCGAGCATAATCCGCCCCGGGCGGGTATATTTGAAGAAGAAAAAGATCGCTAACACAACAAATGCGACGGCAGCCGAGCCAAATGCGGACAAGATGCCAATCAAGATGCCTTTGCCGGTCGACCCGGTCGAGTTGCCACTTGCCAGCACAGGCTCGGGACGGAACTCCCTGGACAAAGAGGAGAGAACATTCTGTAGATTTGCTTGGATTTGTTGCTGCGAAAGTGATGGATCGCTTTGTATGGGGGTTGGTAATGGTAATGAGACAAAGCCAATCGGTGACGTCGTCGGATTGCCTATCAGCGTTTTCAAGGTTGATGGCAGGCCCGCGAGCGCATCGGGGCTCGAAGCCTCAGGAAGTTGCATCGTTCATGTGTCAAGTGAGTGTACGAGGAAAGAAATCAAGAGAAGTGGGAAATGTTGAGATGATGTGTGTAAAGAGGAGGTGAGAGTGAGATAAGTGAGCGGATAAAAAAGGGTTATCTAAGACGTTTCCGGGCCTTGGAGCTAGAACCCTGTAACAATGCAAGGCAATAGAGTGTTCCTGGGATTGAACCTCCTACATTATACATATGTTATACTCTAATATTTCTGTTTAAAAATCCATTTTTTGAATTCTGCGTAATATACACTCCAAGGTTGGATATGTTGGTCATGTGACCTGTTGACCTATACTCCAGTAGCTTCTCTCATCTTGAGATATTTCCACATGTTATGACAATTCTATATCTCACTTCTCTTCCCCCTCCAGGCCCTCTGATGGCTCCTTACATGAGATCTCTCTCATCCCATCACCCCATCACCCCATCATCCCCTCATTCTCATCCTTAACCCTTAGCTTTGAGCACCCGCTCCGCTAAATCGACAATGGACTGACTACCCACAATATCCAACACCCCAACCTCCACACCTACCTCCTTTGATAGCCAGTTGCGAATCTCAATAGATCCAAGGGAATCAACGCCATAATTGGAAGGGACCATCTCGCTGTCAATCTCGGTGGCAGATATGGCCAACAGGTTGGACAATTTCTCACTGATGCCTTCAACCACAATCTGCAGTGTTTTTTCTTCCGGGCGGGCTTTGTCTAATGTTCCTTGATTGATAACTTTCCATCTTCTACATTATTGCCCTCACTTCTCCCAGAGCCACCGAGGCGCTAGAGATGGGTGAATCGGGGATAGGACAGGAAGGCAGGCTCCGGTAAGGTTGTCAGCAAGGAACTGTTCACGAGTACAAAGTCCAATGATGGTCTGTGGAAACACATCTGAGTTTTGTACATTGAATGGTACTCCAACAGAGCATGGAACTCGTCTTGCGAAACGACTTGATTCCCCAATGCGGATGGGAGGGATGTTTTGAATAAATCGTCCGGTCGCTCCGCGATCACACCGATGTCAAGCATATGGCCTAGGTCGAGTGAGGTTCCACTGAGGCCCCGAGATCGACGGTAGTGAGCTAGAGCGTCTTGGCACGTGTTGCCTGCGTTGTAGTTGCCTTGGCCACGGTTCCCGATCACACCGCCACATGAAGAAAGGAGGATAAAAAAGTCGAGATCATTTGGAAGCACTACGTGGAGGTTCCACGATCCGCGTGCCTTGGTCCTAACGCTCGCTTCAAAGACGGTTGATATCATCTTTACAAATGTAGAATCCTGTCAAGAACTATCATCATTAAACCGGACACCATGGAGGTGTAGGGCATGGAAACTTTACCAACAATGTCATCTCACATTGATAACAACCTCGGATAGGGGGCATTCTTTCCGTGTGAGCTTTGATCGCTTGATCCAAAGCAACTGAGTCACCAACATCAACCCGCAGGACCTGCGCATGGCATCCGGCGTCATTCAATTCGTTGAGTAGGAGTTGTGCATCGGCATTGGAGCCACCGGATCTTGAGAGGAACAGGAAATGTTTCGCCCCACGAGATGCCATCCACCGCGCTGCACTCCGACCGAGACCACCGCTTAGCAGCTATGTTGCATTTTCTGGGAATTGATATGGCGGTGGGAGCGATGAAAGAGCTTGGACAACATCATCATCACTAACGGTCAATACCACTTTGCCGCTCTGTTCACTAGACTGGAACTGACGGAAGGCCTTTTCTAACTGGGAGTACTTGAACGTTGTGAACGGAGATGTTGGTCGGAAGACACCAAGTTGCCAGAGTTCCATGACCCCTTGAAGGAGATTATCTGCCCGAACGGGGTCATGTTGTAGGATGGTGTTGAGATCGCAGGCGGCAAAGGTCACACTTTGGAGGAAGGGTGCCATATCAAGGCGTCCGTTCGTTATAAAGTCGCGTTTACCAATCGCGATAAAGCGACCGCATGGGGCCATGCATTCAAAAGTCGCCCGAAGAGCCTCGCCTGCTAACGAGTTTAAGACAACGTCCACCCCACCGTGATTCGTCTGCTGCATGATCATCTGCGTGAAAGTAAGATCGCGGCTATAGAAGATATCCTCCTCATGTACACCGTACTCGAGCAGAATCTTTTTCTTGGATTCAGAAGAAACGGTCGCGAAGACCCGAGCCCCGATATGGTTGGCGAGCATTAGAGCTGCCTGTCCTACGCCGCCTGCTGCCGCATGGATTAAAATTGACTCCCCTTTTTTCAACTGCGCAGCCTGGACCAAACAGTGGAACACTGTGGGATAGACAATTGGGAATCCTGCGACATGTTGAAGGCTCATTGTCTCGAGTATGGCGATTGCTGCTTTTTCCACGGTACGAGCGAGTGTTTGGAAAGTGCCAGTGCAGACTGAGAGTACCGCTATACCTTGTCCGGGGCGCAGCCTCTTTACATTGGGACCAACTGGTGTGACGATACCGGACGCCTCGCCTCCAAGCTTTGTGGTTGGCACTTCACCCATAGCGGACATAACATCGAGGAAGTTCAGTCCGGTTGCGTGCACTCTGTATTCGACTCGTCATATTTCAGCGGACTCGCGTAGACACAGCAGTCCTTGAAATATAACCGATCCAAAAGACCAAGGCTGTCTATTGTCAAAGCTAACACTCGATTCGGTGCATCACCTAGGCGTGTGCTTTCGGGAGCCGTCGGGGCAAATTTGTTGGCCATTAAACGATCCAGGGATTTCTGTAAAACCAAGCGGTTGGTCAGGAGGGGGCCGACGACGGAAGCCCTATACTCAGCGTTGCGGTTGTTCGTTTTGGCAGTGGACTTGCGTTCTGATGCAATTCATGTTGGTAGATTCTCTTGAGACGTTGAATGACTTCCTGGGCATTGTGTCCATGGCAAATTTCCAATGTGAGGAGGTTCTGTTGACGGAAGTCCTGCTCCCATCCCACAGTCCGGATGAGACCTGTGATAAGAGCAGCATTCGGATCTAATTGGTCGTCTCCGCGGACCCAGAGGATGCCGCCACAGGACTTGTGAAGATATTGAATATTGGCCATTAGATCATTGCTCATGCACGAAAGAATACTCCCCTGTATATCTATGATGATGCATATCTTTCCTTCCAGGTCCGTATGATGTGTAACACTGAAGGTATCGACAATGGTACATCTGTTATCAGGCGAGGCCAGACTCGTACTAAGTGTCTCAGCAATTTCGTGGACCTGAGACGATGGTTGAGATGGTGTCACAATAGTTGGTGCGGCTTGTATCTCCGAGTATTGCTTGACATTTCCACCTGGCCCAGGAATACCAGCAATCATCAAGGTGCGCTCCGAAATTACTGTACTCGCAGAATCACCAATAGAGAGCTCATCTTCAGACAAGCCTGATGCTTTGAGTGTCTCGGACCACCAGCCTGCAGACTGCGGAGGACCGGCTTTACGGCTTTCTTCCTTGGTCAACCACCACCCCGGGTTTAGGCCGAAGATGAGTGGGTAGAGGAGAACATCCATTTTGCCAATTTCCACCAGAATCAGCTTTCCCGACTCCTCCAAAAGTGACTTGAGGTTTTGCAAGGCATAACTGGCACCTGGAACCGCATACACTACATCCACACCCAAAATGAGGTCATATGAACTCCAAATTTTGCTCCGAGAGGTCCTGTGTGATATTGAATTTGCGGTACTCAACTGAGTCTGCCATGCAGCGAGAGATGATCCTGCTTGGCAAAGAGCGCTGTCGATTTGTCCGTGTAAGTGTACCGGCCAGTTGCTAGGCCGGGGAGAAAGGCCCTGGTACTCGCACCATCACCGGCTCCAACCTCGAGAACCTTCAGCTCTCCTGCTTGATGTCCATAGATGTCACCGTATGCGCGGAGTAACTCTTGTATGCGCTGGGACGACTGGTTTTCTGCATCGAAGCGATCCAACAGGCCATCCCGAGATAAAAAGTGGAAAAGATCAGTCTGGCCATTTATGATCAAGTCAAGATGGCTCGCAACACATGATATCAGCTCGCCTTCCACGGATGCAGAAGCAGCATGTTAAATTAATTTGTCTTGGTTTTTCGAAGAGTCTGAATTTATCGGCAGACGGTAGTGCATCTCTTAAAGCCAGGCAAGGTACTTTTCGAGGTGAGCTGGCAAAGAGGAGGAGCCGAGTGCTTGGATACTGGACAAAGCTCTCTGGACAAGGATTGCGACCGCCTGATCCAGATCATTGGATAAATACTTTCCCTTCTCCTCACGCCTACAGGCTCCATTGTTGTCACAAACCTGGCGGAGGTAGTCTATGGTCTCCTGCTGTTCCATTAAATTTACATATGGTTTCCACACCAAAGTCCATGGTTGTTGGTAATGATGGCCTTTGTATGCGGACCGTTCTAAAAGAACGGTTTGATATTGCCAAATTCGGAATTCTGGCATTGTAGCGCCGGCACTCAATGCTGTCACGTCGTGGTGGATGTAATTATGTGAAATTATCTTGGCGACATCATGGCAATTGATCTCTGCCCCGGGCTCGTTGGCAATTTGTGGTGCCAACCAGGGCTCTTTGATTGACCGTGGGAGCATGATCTCAGCAAAAGCTCCTTGGTTAATCAGGTCGCCAATCGCCACGATCGCCAATTGTGTGCAGGCATCCAGGGATACCGGATGCATGATATGCGGCTCCATTGTCTCGTAAGGCATGCTAGCGCGAAAATCTGGAATGCGAAAAATTCCCAATGCCTGGCCTGTTCCATTACCTCGGGAGGCACTAGAAAGGCCACGCATGGCTGGGCCGAACACCATGCCGAGAGAGTTCAGATCCGCCCTCATTTTTTCGATGTCAACGGGGACAGTGCATTCTTGACTGGCTGTATTTCCGAGGGCCTCAAAATTTTGCTTGATGGCAACGGATGGGGGATTTCATGAACTCGAAGGAAGTTTCTCCACTGTGGCTCTTCTACATTCCAGTCTCGAACTGGCGCCCCGAGGAGATCATGTCGAGGGTTCTGCCGATAGAGAAGGCTTTTGCTCAGTTGGCCAAATGAATTATATTCGCGAGGGTGATTGAAGGTGTACGGAGGAGTATCAACCAACATTCTTACACTAGAGCATCGATTGACTTAGGAGAAGGCTACTGGATAGCCTTCGCAGAATAGCTTCCCAGCAAGATCAAGTGGCTGGGTCATGGCTAAGGTGCTGCGTTAGACCGCCCAGTAATGTGAAACTCGGCCTGCGACGACGTAATTTGCTTCCACGATTTCCTTGGTTGCACTTTGCATCGCAGGATGAGGACCCAGTTCAACCATATTCAGCAAGGGGTTATGCTCTCCGCCCACCACCGTGGTTATTCTTTTGCCTTTCGAGATGATGGTGTCGATCAGATGTTCGATGGCGGAGACAAACTGTACAGGTGATATCATATTACGCACCCGGTAGTCGGCATCCGAAAGGGAGCAAGGATTGATAGGTCTCCCCGTGACGGAGGACACCATGACAGGATAAGAATTGGGCCATAATGCACTTCCCACAGATAGCTCACCCATCAGCCGACGATATTCGTCGGCGACTTGCCTCATGTGCGCAGAATGATAGGCGACCTGGACCTTTAGCTGGCGTGCGAATACGCCTTCACTCCCAAGTCGTAAGGAGAGGAAGTCTATCATGTGCCCGTCGCCTGCAACTGTGAGATTTGTTGGGCTGTTGAAGCATGCAATAGACAAAGTCCCGTTTAGTTCCCGATGTACTCCCTTCCCTCTAAATGGGGCCGTAATGCTTCTTCGCCCATGCCGACGGCAAGCATACGGCCCCCTGAATCGACGAGTGTAGATGCAACAATGCCACGGAAAAAGGCAACTTTCCAGGCAGATTCACGGCTTAGTCCTCCTACACAGTATGCAGCGGCAATTTCCCCTGAAGAATGCCCAACCAATCTATTTGGCCTTGCATTCCACTGGCGCAGGAGGTCAACCAGGCCGATCTGAATCACCGTCGAGACCACTTGGCTGAGATCGGGTTGGTTGATCCGAGACTGTTCGGCATCCCGTAGAAGTTCCTTTATAAAGAGCTGTCAGAGATTGGACCGATCGGAAGGCTTTCAAAATCCTTACGCTTGATATCGTACTTGTTACCTATGCTACGCAGATAGCAATTGGCGTCATCAAAACTGTCACAAAAAACTGGGAATCTGAGCAGTTCCTTCCCCATTCCAGCCCATCCGGCCCCCTGCCCAGTGAAGATAAACCCTAGAATGGGAATCTTGCTAGGCCGTACATGACGAACAAACTTGGGACCCTCAGTCAGTCGCTCCAGGAGTTCCGCCAAGGAGGTGGCGTTGGCAAAGGAACGCCATGAGAAATGTGTCCTTTTCTCGCTCAGAGTGTGCGCTAGGTTTCTAAGAAGCTGATCGTCATCCTCAAGCCCAGAACGGCCCGAGACCCAAGAGTGAAATTGTTTGAAAATTCGGTTCAGGCCATCCTCATCAGGGGATGACCAGACGAAGGACCTTGTTGGAAAATATTCTTTCTCATTCCTGTTCATATTCACTTGAAACTTATTATGCTCCTGGGAGTGGTCTTGCATCTGGGACCTGTCGTATAGCTCCTCCTCATGGTGATCAATCATATCACTGTTCGTTACATCCCCTTCTATGCCATGGTTCTGATCGTCAGCCACGACGTGAGAAACACAGCTGACGGTAGGAATGAGTTCCATCCAGGTTGTGAGACTGCAGATAATGATATGCATCCTCCATGATGAAGTGGGCATTCGTTCCCCCGACACCGAATGAGCTGATAGAGGCCCGTCGTAAACCCTGACCCGGCCATGGCATGACTACCTGAGGAAACTGCACGTCTATCAGTCATAATTCCATATGGAGACTTTGCAACTAGGCTTCCCACCTGAAGGTGCCATTCTTTGACTGGATTTTTTTGTTCACTTTCTCGAAGTTCAGATTCGGTGGAATTATACCTCGCTCAAGAACAAGGACAGTTTTGATCAGACCAGCCAGACCTGGTTCTGCCTCCAAGTGGCCGATCACGGATTTTTACAACTCCAATGACTAAAGGATGAAGTTTCAAATCTTTCCGTGACTTCTAAACGTCCCCCATCGCGCGAGCCTCGATGAGATCACTAACCGGTGTCCCCGTACCGTGAGCCTCGAAATATCTAGTTTCTTCCGGTTTTCAGCGATGACTTGGCATAGACATTGCGTATAAGCTGTTCTTGGCGTGTGTAGCCAGGAACCGATATGCTAGGGGTGTGTGTGGCCATCATTGTTTAACCCAATTCCTCGCACGACTGCCCGGATAATGTCCCCGTCTCGAATTGCATCCGAAACGGATTTAAGAATCAGAGTGCCAACCCCCTCGCCTCGAGCATATCTATTGGCACGATGGTTAAGACTATAACAGATACTGTCAGGGCTTAGAAATCCCACATGACTCATGCGGTACATCATATCAGGGTCATCAATCAGGTTCACGCCACTAATAATAGCCTAGAAATCACCAAGGGATGTATCAATATCGGAAATACAAAAATGCGTATAAAGAAACACAGCACTGACAATGTTGGAGTTCCCTAACCTAAGGTCCTGATAAGCGAGGTGGAAAGCGACTAAACTGCTCCAACATGCTGTATCAATTGTGATACTGATCCCTTTGAAATCAAAAAACCAGCTGATACGGTTAGACAGAATAGAAGGAGATATTCCTACAGGCAGATATTTCTATAGAGATTGCTCATCGGCTCCCATGATCTGCTCAAAATCGTCGTTGGACGCACCGATAAAGACAGAGACGTCGTTGGAGGCAACATTTCCAATGGTAAGCCCAGCTATCCCAGGATGGCTGGTTAGCTTTTAATGGCATTTAATGACCTGTAGGTGATAATCAACGTACCATTCGTGATCGCATGATACATATTTTCAATTAGAACTCGGCCTGATTCATTGCCATGGCCTCGCTCTCGGTGATGCCGAAGAATGGCGCGTCGAAATATCGACCATTCTCCGACAAAAAATGGCCTCCACGACAAGCTATCTACCCCTAAAACCCATTAGTGGCTGATTCCTATATTTACTTAGGGCTTTTGGATCACTTACACTGCCTCCATACTCTGAATCTGGATGATAATGACCATCGACGTCCATCTTGTTAAGGGGGAAATCTGTTGACGTCGAACGCCCGGCAATCAAAGTATACCAAAAGCTTTCGAAATTCTCTACAGTCTGGGGAAAGCGACAAGTCATTCCAATTATGGCAATATCTTGCGCTCTAGTTTGTTCCTCTATGACCTGGGATATTGGATAGCGCTTTAAACGGTATTAAGAGTGAAGTAGAAATAAATTAGATTATTTCAAAATTTTAGTCAATCGTTCTTCGAGGTAAGAGGTTAGTAGTGTATGGGACTTAAATATACCATTTGATTCTAGGTTTCACAGTATCAAAGTTATCGCCTTTCCACCTTCATGGTCGATGCATGAAAATATATCCTTTGCCACAACAGGTCATTAAGCGTATACTAGAGTAAATTATGATCAGTCCTGTGAAGGATATAAGAAATGTTAAGTATGTGCTAGAGTGGATAATGATGAATTCGGGTTAGGATACATAACCCGTGTCACAACAGATTACTGCGCCTATGCTAGAGTAGGTCATAATAAATGCGGTTCAGGATGCATAAAAATTTTGAATTCGTGCCGCATTAGACCTTGATAGATATGGACGACTATCCAAAAAAATGCGGGATAATAAAATCAAGCCGTATATTGATTGCCCAATCAATAGAGAAAACAGCGTCTGAATAGAGTGCTATCATCTCTTCGAACGCATCCAACTATTTGCGAGGAGTCTTTCTAGCAAAGTCGCATCCTCAGCCAATATACCCAGGGGTCTTACAAAAGTCATATCATTTCCATATTGGGTCATGCTATGTAACTTCCTATTATTTGTATGCTATATCCCTTAGAATAACGTCTTAATTCTGTGTCTGTGATTATAGAGTAGATCCGAGTCAGCCCCCATCTGAGTTGGACTCGCTAAGGCAAGATAGGAAGAGCAATCCTCGTTTTCATCTTCTATAGAGCGGTCCTATATTTATCTTCCTTACACAAAGAGCCCTTCCTGTGTAAAATGCGTTTTTTATATCTACATGGTGTTGGTTCCAACACAGTTCTCGAGGCCCAGCTTGCGGTTATATTGAAGGAATTTTCTGAGCACGAGTTTCATTGCTTGCAGGGAGAGGTTGAAGTCGAGCCAGAAAAAGGGTTGTTTATACAGCATGAGGTCTTCGTTTTCGATGCTGTTTCTAGTTCCTTCCAGTCTTATTAGTAGTTAAAGATTATTTCGTGGGGCCGTACTTCTCATATTTTGAGCTTTGCATACCATCATAGATACGATCTTCATTCCAGCTGCAGAACGAAATCATCGCAGGAGGATCATTTGACGGGGTCTTCGGCTTTTCTCATGGTACAGCATTGGCTGCATCCTCTATTCTCTACCATACGAGGCATAGCCCGCCTTCCCAGTAGCCATTCAGGTCTGCCGTGTTTTTCTCGGCTTCACTCCCATTTGATTTAGAATCTCAACCGTTCTCTGTCGACGGCGGTGGCATCTGCTATTATACCCCAGCGGAAGCAGACAAGATTTGCACTGTCAATGTATATATGACTATCCCGGAGCTTATAGATCCTATTTATGTTCAAAAATGGGACCAGACAACCCAGTTTCTGGAGCGATATAGCGCCAGTCATGCAGTTTCCGTGCCCATATCTGTCCCCACAGCACACAGTTATGCTCTCAATGATAGGTACGGGTGTCATGCAGTTCAATTGCAAGAGTTCTGTGTTTCATGGGATAAGGAGATTCTTGTGCATGACGGTGGCCATGCCATCCAATATCGTCCATCCACATCCGCGAAAATGCTGGAATGCATCCGCAAAGTGCTGCATTCTGCAGCAATCTTTTGAATTAAATCCAAGAGCTTCGGCAAAAACACCTGAAAACTTCTTGAGGATGGAGTCAATCGCTGTGAGGCATAGATAGTTAAGAGTTTGGTACAATTCCTTTCTACTTTAAATAACTGAGGATTTACACGCTCTTTTTATTTCACCGAATGTTAATTCATCTTTTGAGTACCTGTTTCGCATTAGGTGTCTGGTTCAACCTGACGACAATTTTGCCGGAGACTGCTTACTAACGGACCATGGCAGCCTTGAAAGATACTGAGGATTATCATACTGTAAGAGTCCAAATAAATATTGAGGGACACGAAGCATAAAGCCTGAAGCTTCTTCGTGACCATAGGCCAAAAAATGTCTCCATCCAGCGGTAATTTCTGTATCAGGTGCTGAGAGATAATCCGGACTCCATGAGGTGCATGGATACGCAACGGTCTCCTGTATAGATCAGTAATTCCGATGGATGTAAGCCTACAGGATATTGGGTGGTTATGCCTGCCATGTTATCTTTGTTTATCTAAGAGCTCACGATCCGACGATCATGTGGCGTACGGAGGCACGGCGCCCTATATGGACTGGTTAGGGAAGGAATGACAAGAGGTGGAAGGGTCAGTCGCTACACTGGTGTAGTTGGTGAGGGCATGAATTATTCATGGTTGTGCATATGTATGGTCGAAACAGTGCCATTTCAAGTAGAGAACGTGGGCATACCTGAGTATTTTCAAGATTAAAGAAATGCACAACCTATTCTTATCGATACAAAGAGGGATGTTCCTAATAACCGATGAAATTATATAAAACATTGCAGTTCCAATTTTTTTCAGACAGGACAGAGACATAATCGTATTTCTACTGTATGCAAGATCAAACTCGGTGGGATCTGCGGGATCCGCACTCAATTTGATATTTCGGAGTCACGATCGCAGTCATTGCCCCCGGCCGTGAAACAGAGGTAGCTTTCCCTGAAACATAGCAAATTTTTGCGAAGAGATCTACAACAATGACGAGTGCAACTTTTGCTCAGAATGATGACGGTTCGCAACCCCGAATTATCGAGTGCATTAGGAAAATCCTGTCACTCCCGACTCATAAGTTCTATAAAGTACGCAGGTTCATCATGGAATATTTATTGTCAAGTAAGCAGTCATTTTGCAGTCAATCCAGCCCGCTCTTTGCGCTTCTATTTTGGCATTTAACTTCACCATGGAATTCAAGTCCTATTCCCGGCGTCTCGCAAATGCCCTTACCATCAGACGGTGGGAATGTATTGCTATTACTTGTGGTAGCCTCTCCATCATATTCCTCGCGATTGCGATGGCAGCATCGGGCAATATCCCACCCACTGCACCATGGTGGGATGCCAGGCGAGTTCACGCCCATTACTGGGCTCACCTGAAGGGTACCCAGGCCGCCAGTGTCTTCATGATAGTCTCCGGGGCTTTGTACGTCGTCTATTCAGCAGCTCTCACACGTCAAATTCGTAAAATCCCCGAACTCGATCCTATAATCGCCGACCTACAACTTGCGAGTGCAGCAGCATCATTCAGCGCCTTCATGCTAGTTGCTGTTGCCATGAGCCTGTTGACCTTCCGCGATTACAGTCCGGAGTTGACACAACTCCTAAATGACTTTTTGTGGATGGCCTTTATTTTAGCGTGGCCAATATTCTGGGTGCAGGGGTGGACAGTTGCGTGGGCGATCTTCAGTGATAAAAGACCCAACCCTGTGCTTCCTAGAAGCGTGGGTTTGATCAATCTTGCCGCCCCAATTGTGTATGCCCTCGGAAGCGGAGTCCACATGCATCATACAGGCCCCATGGCATGGAATGGTGGCCTTGTGTTTTGGCCAACCATGGTAGTCTTTGGATTCCAAATCAACTTTGACCTCTGGTATATGTGGAAGAATCTTCGAGATAGTAGTCATCTTCCCTAGGGATTGAAGTGTTACCGAATTTATCTGTTGCAGAAACATTGTCAGGGAAAACCTCAATCTCCTACTTCACAATCGCAGATTGGATACAATGAGGACCGGCAACTGGCATGAGCGGTGAAACTCGATTATTACAGTGGTGGAGGGGGATATGATTGGTTTTCTTAAGATGGAAGAGAACAAGTATGCAGCCAAGGTTATGGGGTGACTTCAGTGGGAAGATGTTGATGAATCGCTCTGCATTTATTAGGTTTCATAGCGTTGAAATTGGAGGAATTCTAAAATATACATGCCATTGTAAGGATGCGGGATCCGAGTACGTTTGAATGGTTCACAGGTCAACTTAGGGAGACTTCGGGAATATCACCGGTATTGTGACTTCTAACTAGCGATACCTCTAATGCGACCTGTTGCCCTGAGTCAAGCGATCGTACAATATAGTAGTGTTGTAGTCATTTGTGCACAAGTGAAAGCTTAGGAGACGCCGGTTACCGAAAGAGTATATGGTTAGAGATTCTGAAGCTTGTCCTCCCATCCTATAGAACTTCTGAGAACAATTATATAGTGATTAAATATTGATGCCCAATTTCGACATTGGCCGCAAGAGAGTGCTTGAAGATGGCATGACAAGGGAACTGAGAGGAGCGCTATTGTGTATATACGAATCCAGCCCAGTTCCAAGGTTATTCATTGTATACCTATTTTTCACTGGCCTCAAGAGACACCCAATCTTCAACCTCCGTCTAAGCATCGGCATATGACTTCCTTATGCCTCTAGGGAAAATGGGACAACGTTATCCTTTTTCAAGGCCAATCTCCACATCATCATAACCAAAAATAGACCTGCCGGTTTTCATTTTCACCCTGTGTGCACCTAGTGGAGTCATTTAGCTCGATATCCCTGGAGCTGAAATACCTAGGCATCCGATATTCCCCTCGGCATTCGGGGATTGTGATCTTACTGGATTACAGAGGAAGTTTGCTTTCTCACGCAGAGCTTTCGGTCCAAACATCATGTTACTATATCCCTATTTGACTCTACAGTCCCTCAAGAAATTCCCACTGCTCATATCTATCTTATTGCTATTGTACACCTGACAGAGTCGGTGGTCCCATCTCATAGTCTTGTCTTGATGGTACGGTTAGATGAGTCACCCTATGTCATGCGTTCAATTATCATACCACTCCACAATCAAATCTTACGGTGTCAAATGAAGAAGAGTTGAATTTGAACGAGTTGATAGGCATGTAAACCCCGCAAAGTCCAGAAAATGTTCTCTGGTTCGGGTAGCTCATTGGACACAGTTGGCGGTCGTACCATTCATGAAGAACCCGACGTAAAATGAATTACATCACCACAAGCATGGCATTCTGGGGTAATATATAAGGGGTTGACATTTCATAAGTGAAGTTCAGTTTTACTACACTTATTCATTTATCACACTTCACAGATTTGCAATATGGACAAGTACAATTCCCGGTGGGTCTCGTTCCACATTCGAGACCACATCAAAGATGGCGAGATCCTAGTACAGAACACTGTCATTGAAGGGTATTTATGATCCTAGAGATTGACGAGATCTCTACTAACATCCGGTAGTGGCGAATTCATCGACCCCAATGACCGCCGCAAGTCACTCACTGAAGAGGAGATCGACGAGATCAAGATCTCCCCCGATGGTGTTGGTGAGATCGGCGCTAGCGGACGTCGTGGTAGTGAGGGTCGCCTGGACTTATTTCATGACAATGACAAGATTTGCGAGCTCCACTGGGAAAATCGTGGTGGAGAATACGAAAACCTGGTTGAGGTGTTGGACAAGAGCGACAAGTACACTATCCGACATGGAGGATGGAGTCATGAGGCCGGTCCACTGGGACATGTCTTTGTCGATGTCGAGAAGCAATGATTACGCTCCACAGGCTGCACCTCCATACCTAGGTATTGGAGAGAGAGAAAGCGGTCCGTGGAGCACGAGTGGCAATATTTGGGGAAATTGGATGTATTATCAATACCGTACACAAACCAAAAAATACCAAAAACAATGCAAAACTTTTGAAAACTACAGTTGGAATGCGATCGCCATTCTTCATTCCATCCCTAATTCAATAAGAATGCTTAAGCCATTGTAAAGAGGTTTCCATCGAGCCAAGCGGTATTTTTCAAGAGAACTTCATGACGAACAGCCAGGTCTGATCTCGGTCTTTTGAATGGCCTGATCGCTCCGGTTGTCTACCACGCCACTAGAATAGACCCGGACATCCTATATCGACACACAGAATTCGAAAGTGAATGAACTCTTTCGGATAGAACGACGAACCCACGCGCAGAAAAGGTGGAATGTCATCGCTAACTCCAGGATAGGGAATATGAAACTATTTAGCGATGGCATAAAAGATCAAACTGTGAACAGGCAACCAAGAATGCCTTCCGCGAACCAGACCTTATCCTTTCTCCAGCTGTGGACGATCAAATCTCTTCCCACCTTCACCACTTCCTCAATCTGCGTTTGAGTGCCCCATCCAGGGACTCTACTTCCCCAGCAAATCAGGTGTACACCAACGTGAATCGCAGTGCGGAATGCCATTTCATCGTTGAGGGATCCATATCCCCTTAAGAAGCCTTGAATCATCCACAATCCACCGTCCACATTTTTGAACAGCTTTGTTTCATACAGTTCAGCGATCATTTGGCCCAAGTCTAGTGCACGGCTTCCAATCTGCGACATTTCCCAATCGACAATGAACATAGTCGTCTCAGATTGATGGGTGAGAGGAACGTTTGGAAGAAGGACACTAGAAATGACATTAGTAACCTGGCTTAGGCTAGAAGGCTAGATCCAAGAGAGTATACTTTCCAGTCCAGAAGTCACCGTGAATAATACCATATCCATCATCATGGTTTTGCCGCTTAAGTTCGGTCGCAGCCAGATCCCGAATATTCTCAAAAATATCACGATAGTCCTCTAGAATACCGGGGAAACTTTCAACGGTGTCCATAAGCAGAGTGTAGTTCACCCAGAACTTCAAATCTTTCATCACTGTGTTTGCGCCAAGGTCTTTTGTGTGCTGTTCCTCGTCGGTCCAAAGGTGAAACGATCTCAGCCAGGATCCAAGGGCGGTGCCTAGGTCTCGCCCTAATGATTCGGGCAAGTCATGAGAAACCTCTGAGAGTAGGAAGTTCTTTAGGTCGATTGAATTTGGAAGATCTTCGACCACCTGGGTGTCCGTGTCCCGATTGAAGTCCAATAGTCGCGGGGATTTCACAGTTATTTTGCCAGTTGTATGAGTTGCTAGCCCATCGAGAGCTCGAAGAATGGCTTCCTCGAAGTGCTAATTTAACATCAGTATAATTCGAAGCAGAATCATTCAATAGAGTGTAACTAACGCATCTCGTGATATCGATCTTGAAATCTGGATTAGAGGCCGAGTGATCTTTCGTGTGCTTGATGATGATAGATTGTCCAGTTGAGGCAAGCATGCCTCGATAGACAAAGTTAGCTGTACCTCCGGACAGGCGCGTGAGCGAAGAGCAAGCGAAGGGAGTAGGGGAAAGTTGCTGCGCAATTTTCTCCCGTGTTTGATCGCGCTCATTTGTATTTGCCATGTGTGCTTAAGTGGTTGTAAAAGATTCAAGAATGCCCCACTCGAGTGTTTCTAGAGAGGCCTTGAATGCGCTAGTACATATCCGGTCCCCGCATTTATAGTGGAGCATTTATTTTTAAGTATACATACCAACTATGACCTTCTGGATATAGGGTAATTTACCCGGAATATCTTTGGAGAGTACTTTGTCTTTTTTATGTTAGGTATAGCTTCAATTTTATGGTAGAATTGGGCCTATATCTGATAGTTGACTATTCCTTGCAATAGTAAATACTACCCGGACACACGGATTACCCTTTTGCAAGACATATTGGACTGGACCGAAGATCTATATACAAGCTGAAGGGTATGGTGAGAACTGGTAAATCAACAATTTCTCGGACGTTTGCATAGTCTTTCGCAAATAAGGGGACACTTGGCGCTACCTTCTTACAAAAGGCGAGCAGAATCGGGGCAACGTAGACTGGCTTTTCACTATATATCTCCTCCTAACTGGGGTTTAGAAGCCCTAAGCCTGTCTATGAACCTAACTGGAAGAAATGATACCTTCGACCAAGTGGCTACCAATCGCGTTGCAGGGAAATTCTAGGAAGGCGACATTATTAATGTCGAACATAAGCACAGTCTAATCTTGGCCTACAATAACATACAATGACCTGATCTATCACACCACTTCAGCGACTTGTTCAACTGTCAAACTTTTGGAATAGACCTGGAAATCCCATACAGGGAGTTCCCGGCATTGCTATAGCGACTTAACCGAACCATTAGCAACCCGTTGCCCGGCGGGCTCTGTGTCAATAATATCGATCTACCAGGTGCTAGCATACCCCCACCCCCCACCTCCCACATGCATGTAGATACACATAAGCTCTATGACTGGCTCTACGCATTATGACTTAGCTTGACCGTAGTGATAGGTTTCCCCATGGTGACTGCTGTATCAAGGTAGATCAGACCTTACCAAGTATGTATGATCAAGATGGCTAGCGACTCGTGGAGGCTTTGGACTCATATAATTCGGAAGCGGAAGGCGACCCTTTGATGGAGATGATCTACATCGCTACACACGCACACCCACACAGAGAGAGATAGAGAGAGTGAGAATACAATCAGATTCGTGAATTCAGATGATAGTCAACCTAATACCATGGAAATAATAAATGGTAGAAAACTGTAGATATAGAAAAAAAGTAAGGAAACAAAGGGACTTCGATTGCGGATTTTTGGGGAATGCGGGGAAATTTATGCAAGATCTGGGGTAACATTGGGAGATCATCACTATACAATGTGGGATATCAGACTATAACTCGGTAGTGAGGGGTGACTTTGGGAAAATAACAACTTCACCCCACATACCCCCAGAAGCCGTAAGCTGCACACCTTTAGTGACAAATTATGAGGCCCGTATTTCAAAGCGCCTTGTGCACAGACTCATCTGTATTCGTGATAATAAATCTAAGCACAACAAAGCTGCAACTAATGTGAGACTATGTTTGAACGATGGAAGGATGTTCGGTTTGCATAGTGGGCGACCTGGTTTGGTATTTGAAAATGTAATAACCATCGGGTGGAAGAATACAGGTAGGGAATCCTGTGATACTACCAAGCTACCCGCAAAGACGCTCCTCTACTCCATCCTGGAGACCTGGTTTACTGCCCCACATAAAAGCCCCCACATGGATTTCCGTCGAGGAAAACCGGCTGAGATTCACATTGCCTCTTCAGGCGGTTGTATGGGCGGTAGAATGAAACTATATAATGGCAATATTCCGTGCACGCAGTAGTGGCTGAGGAACAAAATCCGGTTTCTCATCTGTCATTTCACAAAATGGTGATAACCCTACTCATCTGTGCTTCCTGCGTGCCGCTGTATTTTGTGGTGCATGCCCTACTACTGTCACCCCTTCGTCGGATTCCAGGTCCATTCTGGGCTAGGTTCACCAGATTGTGGAAGCTCCTTCAAATATATCAAGGAAGCTTTGAGAAAACAAACATCGCCTTACACAAGAAATATGGTAAGAGTATATCAGATTGTTCTGATAAACAATTCGCTGAAACCACCATATCAGGTCCGATTGTCCGGATTGCACCTAATGAATACAGTATCGATGATCCTGATGCAGTAAAGGAAATCTACGGACAGGGCAGCCAGTTCACCAAGGTTAGATCTTAGTTAAATGACATGAAGTCCTATATCTAATTTATTAACAGAGCCCATGGTACATCGCGAGTGCCAACCCAGACCCGAACATCGTGAAGGACCTCTTCTCCGAGCGAGATTCTAAGACGCACGCATCTAATAGGAGAAAGGTGGCCTCACTTTATTCGATGTCAAATTTGGTGCAAATGGAGCCGTTTGTGAACGACTGTACGAAGTTACTGGTCGGGAAATTTGCCAAATTTGCCGAGCAGGGCAGGTCTGTTGACATGGGTCATTGGCTGCAATGCTACGCATTTGATGTTATCGGGAATATTACCGTATGTCCTTCTCCCATTCCCCAGTGGTAACTTGAATACCTGAAGCCTCTACAGTTTGGACAACGATTCGGCTTCTATCCCATGGGGGTTGTTGCAGTCTAGTAGACTGGAATTAGGACTTTGCCTTAAGTATGGTGGATAAAAGTGGGGCCATGAGTAGACTGGAATACTTTTCGTGAGTAGACTGGAAAAGCTTCTCGTACGAGGATAAAGCTCAAAATTTGTAAAGTTCTATTCTAGACTATAAAGATTATGGTCACCGAATTTTAGAGTAATTGACCAAGTTATAAAGGTGTGGTGGCTGATTGAAAATCGGAATTATTTTTGATGGGGTGCGACCGTACGAAGGGCCAGCACTCTTCAACTTTATTTTAAAATATATATTTCAAGTTAGAATTACTTATAGATTCATATTCTAATCCATGGTATATTTACATGTTGTCCCATTATTGATTTTTTCGTACAATTTAAGCTCTAGGTAGGACTGTCAAGATTGTTTGGTCCATGGTATATTTACATGTTGTCCCATTATTGATTTTTTCGTACAATTTAAGCTCCAGGTAGGAGTGTCAAGATTGTTTGGTCCATGGGATATTCATGCCTTGTCCCATTATTCATGTATCATCCATTAGTGATGTCTCGTACGATTCAAGCTCTAGGCAGGACTGTCACAATTGTTGGGTCCATGGCATATTCATGGCTTACCCTATTGATGAAGGCTTGTCCTATTGATGAAGGCTTGTCCTATTGTTCATGTATCGTCTATTGATGATATCTCGTACGATTCAAGCTCTAGGCAGGACTGTCACAATTGTTGGGTCTATGGTATATTTATGGCTTATCCTATTATTTATACCTTATTATATTATTGATATCTCGTACAATAAATGCCTCTGGTAGCAATATTTATTTTCATAGCTGTATAAGGTAACAATATTACCTAATCTAGTAATCACCTCTATTGTTGTCTAGTAGATATTTAATTCTTAGTTTTCCTCCCACTTCTCTCTTTTGATATATAGATAGTTATAATACTAGAAGTAAAGTGATATATATCCCTATAGAACGTACGAACTAGGAGTTAAAGTAAGAAGTTAGGAAGCGTATAAACTAGAAGGAGAAGTTGGATAGTATAAGGTATTTCGTAGGCGAGCTACGCACCCTACCTAAAATATATTCATTAATTTTATAGTTTCTTCTTTCACTTCGTACGAAATATGACGGCCCTATAATAAAAGGTAATAATAAGGAGTGAATTCTACGGCTAGGGTTTACTTTTACAACGTAGAAATTATTAATAGGTGACTATTATTAAGTATACGAATTCATTTAGCTAGGGGCTTCCTCTATATATAATTTTTAAGGGTAAAGTGTTTATTAAATTATAGTTCGAAGGCCTACTAAATGACTAGTATATATTCTAAGGAGATAATATATAAATATATATTATAAAGAATATCTTGAAGTAGTTTAAGGGTTATATAATAGAGCCTAAAGCTATCCGTATCCTATAGGGGTAGTTATAGTGTAGTAGACTCGAATTAGGAGTTTACGTTAACTATAGTAGATAAAAGTAGGGCTATAGTAGATAAAAGTAGGGCTATAGTAGATAAAGGTAGGGCTATAGTAGATAAAGGTAGGGCTATAGTAGACTAGAATAGTTTTATAAGTAGATTAGAAAAGCTTCTTATATAAAGATAAAGTTTAAAATTTATAAAGTTCTATTCTATACTATAAAGATTATAGTTAGTAAATTTTCGAGTAATTAATTGAGTTATAAAGGTATAGTAGGTAATTAAAAATTAGAATTATTTTTAATAGGGGATAACTATACGAGGGGCCCGCACTCTTCGACTTTATTTAAAAATATATATTTGAACTTTGATATTATATATATTTCTATATTATCCTACTAAGATTTTTTGATATAGGATTAAATATATAACTATAAGTTAGAGCTAGGAGTTGGAGCTAAGAGCTAGAGCTAGAGCTAGGAGTTAGAGCTAAGAGCTGGGAGTTAGAGCTAAGAGCTAGAGCTAGAGCTAAGAGTTTGAGCTGAGAGCTAGAGCTAGAGCTGAGAGTTAGAGCTGGGAGTTAGAGCTGGGAGTTAAAGCTGAGAGCTAGAGCTAGAGCTAAGAGTTAGAGCTAGGAGTTAGAGCTAAGAGCTGGGAGTTAGAGCTAAGAGCTAAGAGTTAGAGCTGGGAGTTAGAGCTGGGAGTTAAAGCTGAGAGTTAGAGCTAGGAGTTAGAGCTGAGAGCTAGAGCTAAGAGTTAGAGCTGGGAGTTAAAGCTGAGAGCTAGAGCTAGAGCTAAGAGTTAGAGCTGGGAGTTAGAGCTAAGAGCTGGGAGTTAGAGCTAAGAGCTAAGAGTTAGAGCTGGGAGTTAGAGCTGGGAGTTAAAGCTGAGAGTTAGAGCTAGGAGTTAGAGCTGAGAGCTAGAGCTAAGAGTTAGAGCTGGGAGTTAAAGCTGAGAGCTAGAGCTAGAGCTAAGAGTTAGAGCTGGGAGTTAGAGCTAAGAGTTAGAGCTAGGAGTTAGAGCTAAGAGCTGGGGCTTAGGGCTTTAGGGCTTAGGGCTTTAGGGCTTAGGGCTTAGGGCTTAGGGCTTAGGGGCTTAGGGCTTAGGGCTTAGGGCTTAGGGCTTAGGGCTTAGGGCTTA